CAGATGGCTTAACCACAAATTTAACAACATAGAATTAATATATAATCCTATAAATCAAGCCCTTCCCACATTTCTCACCCACATGAGACAGATATGCTTGCAGAGGTCTTGAGGTCTCACACTTATACACACACTCACACAAATATATGCACATACACACATCATGCACACTTCCAAAAAACTAAAAGATAACATACACTTAACGCACACATCCCGTTCCCAGCAACCAATACGACTATCAAAATGACCCTGGAGGAAATTCTTAGTCTGGAATCTGCCATCTTCTATCTTGAAAACAATTTGAAAGAAGCTGTTGACCAACACAAGGACTGACTAAAATTAACAATAAAAAAACAAATGAAAACTACAGATAAAGTTCCCTTTTTTTTACTTCTGTAGTTCACTGCTACTAACAAGCAGGGATTTTTTATCCTGATGATGGCCATGCTGGCTGAAACTAGTCAAGGAACCTAATTGAAATAATAAAATGAAAATACTAATATACAACCCAATATGTTTAAAAAATTTTTTTAATATTTTTTATTGTTCAAAACAATAAAAATATTATATATATATATATATATATATATATATATATATATATATATATATATATATATATATATATATATATACAAGTATATAATTGCTATATACGGAATGAATTCCAATAACCAACAATAATAATTCTAAAAGAGTGCTCAATACAATGTAGAGCAGATATAATTATTATTTATAAAAAAATTATAACATAAGTATGCTATAAAATCTCTACCCCTTTTGTTCGTAGTGGGAATGTTCTTAAGTGATACTCCGAAATTGATTCTATCCATATTATAAGAATAGAACAGACAGGGCTCGACAGTAATAGGAGCTAATATATATATATATATATATATATATATATATATATATATATATATATATAGATAGAGAGAGAGAGAGAGATTGATAATATTAATTGTCAATAGATATATATATATATATATATATATATATATAAATATTGACCACCAAATTATTTATATATATATATATATATATATATATATATATATATTTATCCAGGATAAAATCCAGGTAGAGCTCTATGTCAAAGACAGAGCAAGAATATAAAAAGGCTCAAACACATTCATGCTTATAATTTATTACATTGGAATCGTAATCACAACCCAATTCATCAGACCGACAAATTAAAAAAAAGAAAACAGAAAATATCTGGGTTTAAAAAAAACAAAATTTCTGTGAAATTGAATATGTGGGAGTGAGAAACAAAGGTGAGAAGGAAATGTATGAATGATCTAGAGAGAGGTATAAAGAAAGATGAAGAACAGGAAAGGACCTAAAGTGAAGGTGAGAAGTAAAATTTTAAAGAGAGAAGTTAAATAACGTTTTTAAGGAGTGAGATTCAGATAAATACAAGTTATTGTCAGTTGCATAAATCGACTTCCGATTTGTTGACCTAAATTAAAAAAACAGACTACGGGAAAAGTATGGATACGTTTGTGGTGACATTAGACACAATAATAAGGAAAATAATTAGACAATCCATATTTGATGTCTAGCTAATTTATGGTGCCAATGTATATACGAACATTTGTCGTCTGGTTTGCATTTACTAAACTTATGTATGCATGAAAGGAGAAGATGAGAGAGAGTAAAAGAGAGACAAGGAAAAAACATTGGGAGGGAAAGAAAGAAAGAAGGAAAGAGAAAAGGCCAAATGAAAACAGGGGACATTGGATATGACATTTAAATGGATTGACACTTGCATACAGTTCAGGAAATTTTCAATACCAACTTATATAGTAAATATTCAGTGTCCAATTGTTCTTTATACTAGTTAAAAAACCTCAAGAGAATAGGGGATCATTTCCTAGATATTTTGAGGGTCATATAAATACATAAATATTAATGAATACAAGCATATTGCTTGTCAATAAAGTATTAATTACTTGCAAGCATGTTTTCCAAATTGCTTTTAATCATCATCATACACTGAGCTATTCTAATTAATATCAATATAGATATTTGTCATCCACCCTGGGTATGACAATAAACTACATCCAACCTGATCAGGAGGTTTTGAGGAGCATGGAACCACCTCAATTGCTGTTGTTCCTGACCTGTGGTGGTAGCACCTGTTAGGATCCCAGCTATAAGCAAATAGTTAACCTCCAAACTGAGGTCAAAACACTATCAAAATATAAACATTTTTATAGCAAAAATACATTTTAGCTGTTAAGTTAATGAATGTCAAATACTTCCTTCCAAGGAAACAGTTAATATAACCATTACCTTGAGATTAGGAGAACAGATACTACACTTAATATTTACTTGCTGCTCCATGTTGACAAGATGTGACATAAGATCAGTTTAATGTGAGGAGCCTGAGCATGTTCACCCTGAGCCAGGTCCAAAAATAGCCCAGCCTGTTGGTTGTGCTGACATTGGTATTACTATTGATTCCCACCCTCTCTAGTGCAATGAGGGAGGTACTGCCACAGACAGCTGTGTCCTGAGACCAGGCACATCTCAATAATATTTCTATTTGTGCTCTGTCCACAGATAGAGACATAATTTAATTGCATTCTGTCCACAGACCAAGACACAATTGAAAGATAAAATGTAGTTTATCCATCTGAAGACAGATACTACATTTTGATCCCATTTGATAGGGAAGGAATAAATGTGTAACTTGAGTGGCAGTGGCTGCTTGATCAATGAATGTTTCCTTATAAGGAAATGCCAAATATTACCATTATGAATGTACACATTCATAGATTGAATATATAATACACCAAGAACAAATGACTGATATGAGTTACACCCCCACCAGCCCAATAAAAAATGACAAAAGAGAACAATATACATTTATGGACTGAAGAAATGATTCACCAAATGGTAAGAATTATCTGCCCATGCCCATTAACCAGAGAATGTGATCAACCTTGCTCAAGGGTTTAATCAAGATATCTCTCTAAAGTTCCAACTGATACAACATATAATATTCAATAGCCTAAGAAGAATCTGCAATGTTATTGGTCATGACCTGGCATCTTGGCTTCAGTGATTTTCTCACCACCATAATGTGGCTTCTCTCTACCCTTTCTATAAATTCTTTCATGCTAATTGTTCTGATGATCTTTCCTCTATGTTATCTAGTCTTTATAAATTTAACTGCAGTACTAAATTGGCTGCAAGGTTGTGTCGTTTTACTGTTCAAATGGTCACTAGATGTAACTGTAAGTTCTATGCTAAGAGTTTCTTCTCTTGCACTTCTCACATGTGAAACTGTCTTCCGGCTTCTTGCTTTCCAGTCAACTTTGATAGTCAAAAATTTAAATGCAATGTCAACCATTATCTTCTGTCTTCTGAATTCCTCTTCTTTTATTGTTCTCTCTCCTTAATAATGTTTTTCTTTTTCTTATATTCTTTCACACAACGTAACCCCTTGCAGCTTAGTGGCTTTATTGCCTTGCTTGGAGAGAAACGATTAAAATTTAAATGCAATGTCAATCATTATCTTCTGTCTTCTTAATTCCTCTTCTTTTATTGTTCTTTCTCCATAATAATGTTTTTTTTCTCATATTCTTTCTCACTCAATAACACACTTGTGTCTTAGTAGCTTTATTGCCTTGCTTGGAGAGAAAAGATTAAAATTTAAATACAATATCAATCGTTATCTTCTGTCTTCTTAATTCCTCTTCTTTTATTGTTCTCTCTCCTTAACAGTATTTCCCTTTTTTTCTCATGTTAACACTCAGTAACTCTTTGCATCTTTGTGGCTTTATTGCCTTGCTTAGGGTGAAATGATTCAAAAAAATAATATAGGAGATAAAAAATACCAATGTGGATTGAATAAAGATTTATTTTCTTCTCATGTAATTTTGTCTTATTATTAGTTCAGATGCAAAATACATTGGAAACAACAACAACAACAACAATAATAAGAAATAGAAATAAGAAATAAAATAAAAAATAAAATAATTTTGCAAGTTGAATAAGCCATAATTGTGGCATATAAACATATTGAAATGTGCTTTGATCTTCTATGTGCCATGTCCCTTCAGGAGGTGGTTGATCATGGCTCTCCCCAATTTCCCATTGTTTTTCGTTTGTAGTAAGGTTTGTCTTTTTGCTATGCCCCCCATAATCTGTTCTGCCATCCATTTCACAACATAAGGTTGGTTACTTGCTGTTTACCTCTGTCCCTTTTGCCTTCAATATGTTCTGTCAGTGCCAAATTCTCCAAGCCTACTTTCCTCGTTATGTGTCCTAGAAATCTCAACTGTCTTGTTCTGATTTTAAATATAAATGTCTTTTTTGTTTCCAGTTTTCTTAAAATTTCAATGATTAATTTCATCATTTGTACGGTCAGCAGAATAGTGACCAGCACAGAAAGTGGAATTGGCCAACCAATTTCAAATTCTGACCTTGTCTGTTGCGTTTACTTACAAATGTCCTCAGGAAAGGCATGAATCCATTTTTTCCCACCAGATGCAGGGTTAAAATGCAGGGTGGAGTAGTTTGTCTAATATTGGGTGGCAGATGAATACAAATATATAGAAACGGTCATTCCACAATCTTTCCCAAGAAGTCATGGTAATTCAATGATAATAAAAAAGGAAGCTGTGGAGGGACATGATCACCAACGTCCTAAAGTGTTATGGTTTGTAAAAATATGAATTGATTTCATATTATTTTTTTAAACTTCTGATAAATATATACTTAAATGTCTTGAATGCATCATTAAAAATATATGCAAATATATGCAAATATATTCAAATTTACTGTCTTTAACTATTCTCCCCTGGCAGTTTCATTTTTTTATCTATTTCAACTGATAATTTAACAATAGTTTTAATTAGCAGTGCTTTCTTTGACTCTATTTACCATCATTAGTTGTCAACTAGAATTGTCTTCCTGCAATTCCAGTTTGTCTGATTCTTGTTGACATTTCCATTGATTGTATTATCTGACTGAACATGATGACCATCTCAAGGTTTGAGACCAACAAACTCTGGATATTTGGCAAATGGAGATGGTGTATTCTGTTCACGAGTAGCACTGCCTTTAGATGTTGCTGGAACAAAGGCAAGAGCAGCACCATTTTTCTCCAAGAGCTGAGTGTAGAGAACTTGCTTCTTGAATTTGTTCCATTTGGAGCTGTCATGATAATTTTTGCATAATTCTTCCTCTGATGGAATTCTGCAAGACACAATAATAAGATAAAAGACAATGGTATGTTGGATTCTAACCAACCTAAACCTTAGAAATATTCATTTTCATAATTAACTTTATAATTTATGCTTGTCATTTCAGACAATGTGATCTTCACCTTCCCATATTTCTGAAAATGTGCTCTTCAACTTTCCACATTTTAGACAATGTGCACTTCAGCCTTCCACATTTCAGACAATGTGATCTTCACCCTTCAACATTTCTGACAATGTGATCTTCACCCTTCCACATTTCAGACAATTTCTTCACTCTTCTATATTCAAACCTGTGTGTGTATATATATATATATATATATATATATATATATATATATATATATATACACACACACACTTTTATATATATGTACATACATATTCATCCACCCAGGCATGTACATATATTAGTACCCTTTTTTTGCATACTTGTACATATATGTATACATATACATGCCTATCAATATATACCTGTGCATACATACATACGCACATGCACATACACATGATAGAGTTTTTTTTAATACATATGTATGCCTGTACACACATATCCATACATACCAATAACACACACACACCAATACAGCTGGCTACTCATTTCTGAGAACATCTGCCAGGACAGCTAGACAATCCCTATTTCAGACACCAGCTCAGACACATTTGTCTTGGTTCAGGGCCCACCTGCAATTTTCTCCCATGATCAGTAGTTTGAACAACCACAGTACACTCATACCTGCAGTTACAACAACTTGTGACTTCTCGGCTAGCACAACCATCGACAGCTCCAAAAAAGTTTGGGTTGACCCAAATTATGCTTTTGAGGCACTTCCCAATAGTACTGCAAGCCGGGATTGTCTCCCCAGGTTGATAACATTAAAATGGTAAACACGTTGGGATTCAAACCCAGGACTTACGGTCAGAAAGTGAACATTCTAACCTCTCAGTTAATATCAGTCACTTCATCCACATCTGAACAAAATCGGATGCATTATGTAAAAATCAGTTGAATGTTTAAATTTTAATTCTTTTGCTAATGTTTCATTCAATGACAACAGTGTTACTATGGCAATCTTGCAACTTAGAAATGCTGTGAACTTTTTTGAAAATTTAGCAGTTTATAAAATTAAAAATCAATACTTGTGCATAAAATAAGTGTCTGTGAAGAAATCAATGAGATTTGTATATCGGATAATGTTGAAATAAATGTAAAATATAATCACCTGATGTAAGAAATAAAAAGTAATATATATATATTTTGTTAAATATGAAAGACAAGGAAAATTTTATTCATTTTTTTATTTAGTTTTCCTAGCATTCTTATATTTTCCATTTGATGGGAATGAGGAAGAGAAAAAAATGTAAGAAGACTGGAAGAACAAAATAAAAAATTAATAACATTTTCATTATCTGTCATATTTAACGAAAGATGTTTAAAAGAAATGTTGCTGCCCAAATATACATTAATATATATATATATATATATATGACCAACTCTCTCATTGATTTGAACATATGAGGCTCCAACAACCTCATTAAGGTTTTATGTTTGTGTTGTATGTGACAATTCCCTCCCCCTAGTGACCTGTATTAAAATCCAAATATTGTGCAAGGAGGATCTCAGTACATAGTGACAGGAATATATAATATATATATATATATATATATATATATATATATATATATATATATATATATATATGTAAAGTGTATTTCCTACAGGCCATATCACTTCAAAAAGCTGGTTCTCATATGATAACCAAAGTTAAGCAACGTCAAGCCTGATCAGTACCTAGCCAAGTGACTGCTTAGGTGGAGTAAGCGTGGATGTTCAGGATTAATGTTGCTATATTTGTATTTTGTTTCCTTTTTTATTAAACAGTGAAATTAATAACAACCGGCCTAGATTCAGAAGTCCTACGGAAGAAAGGTTGTGCTTCCAACAGGAATCGAACCTGCATCCTTTTTTTCATCAGGAAATCTGAATAACCAAATTACACACACACACACACACACATATATATATATATATATATATATATATATATATATATATATATATATATATATATATATATATATATATATAATAATATAAATAATAACAATTTGTAATTGGTAAGGATAGTTCCAAGGAGGATATTTTCTCCTTTTCATTGTGATATATCTGTCTGGATGAATTGATTCCATTTCTGAAGAGATGAATATAAAAATATTCATGAAATAAATTATAACCAATATGGATTTTTAATATTTTTCTTGATTTATCATTATATATGTATATATGCATATTTAAGCATCATATCTTCATTCAAACCTGATTCATTGAATAATATAGACATATTGTGTCAACTTATTTTTATACTGATCTTTTCCAGTTGTCTTATCAGTTTATTGATGTTAAGATGAAATTCATCAAGGAAGGTGCCATAGTTTTTTTGCTGTCCAAGTACTTTTGATCTACTCCAATCAGGGGAATAAAAAAAAATAATGCTACCAATTTCCAGTCATCTCCCTTATATTGGGACACTTGTTTTGCAAAAATTCCATACCTAAAATGGATAAATTTAAATTTTTATAATAATTATAACAGAGTGTGTTCACACGTGCTTTTTAAAAAAATCACCATTACAATGATTGCAGTTACAATAAATTTGTCTTTATAATTCACTCCTGAAGAAGATACTGGAGGAGATCGAAAGTACTTGGGTAGGAAAAAACTATGGCGCTTTCCTTAACATCTTAACATCAAGGAACTGATTATAGAACTGGAAAGGATCAATATAAAAATAAATAAATATAATATGTCTGTATCATTCAATGATATATATATATATATATATATATATATATATATATATATATATATATATATATATATAAGGGAGAGAATATAGTTGTTCTAACGAGAGACAAAAGTAAAATATTATATAATATGTGGAAAAACCATTCTTTGACTGATGAAGGTCACAAGACCCAAAACTCATGTAGCAAAAAATATGGAAAATAAAGATAATATATAAAAAAATCCACATTATAATGAAAAACAATTACAGCTTCTCTTTTCTCTCTAATATATATATATATATATATATATATATATATATATATATATATTGATAGAAAAAATGAAATTTCAACACCTTAAAAGATGATGCTAATTTTATGTGCATATTGCATAGTAGTTATCAAACTGAAAATTAGAATCGTCATACAGAGTTCAAATTCCACCCAAATGCATTGCATTCACTTTCACACATATGAAAATGCATTTTATTACTCACTTCACTAAATTAATTATCCCATTATGTGGATGGTTAGCATAAGTCTTGTAAAGTGGATCAACAAAATTGTTCACTTACTGGCGTGGAGTGTATTTCTGAAAGAATTTTTGTATGTCAGATGGGGATCCAAGAGAAAGAGTGTTGTTTTTGGATATACGTAGGACTCGTACACCATCACTTAGCATACTGACACCAGACACATTTTCTTCGCTATTAAGGACAGCAAGTTCCTATTAAAAACACAACCAAAATATAACATTTTTAACATTGAAACAGTTTCATTTCATAACAACTTGAAGATTTCATTGCCATAAGTAAGGCAAACTAATATAAGAATTCCTGACAAGTTTCATTGGAATAAACACAACATTCAAGTAATCACTGTTGGACAATGAAGTATGACATTGTAATGTTACCATAGATGGTTCAAACTGGTGTTTAGGTAAGTAAACTAGTTTTCTAGTGTTGTGTCACGATACTAGTCTCTACAGCTGTCTTCAGACCAATACTCCAAAGTCTCTGTTTTTTACTGAAAGTCAAATCAGCCTACTTTTCTTATTTAGTTAGTAATAAGTAATACAGACCATATGATCTGTATTGGCTACTTTTATTGTCCCCAGTTGGGAATTTCTGCTGACAATAAAAGTAGCCAATACAGACCATATGACAGAGTGGGTGTAGTGTGTAAGAGAATCTACTCTATCTTAGCCTTTTGCAGACCATGCAAAAAACTAAGACTGAAGAATTTTGGAAAAAGTAACTCCTTTTTTTACCAGGAAATTTCACATCCTTTTTAGTTGCTGAATTATCAATTCACAGTTCAATGGAAAGGCATCACCACATCCTGCTACATTTTTCATTTTTTAAGTGTTTTTCCTTGATTTGTAACCATCAACTGACCCTGTCAAATATGTCAGATTTCAGAATACAGTATATTTTAAACAACTTGTTTGACTGTTTTCTATTTTTTTTAAACCTTTAATCTTAAACTATTCTTCTTTGTTTTACATGATCAATGATGCAGGTCAGTTAATCAGCAAGAAAGCCAACTGGAAAAAAAGCTTCACCAAGTATAAGAATAAAATAGCCTTCAGTTGTACAGAACAGAAATTAATATATATCTACATATATATAGATATAAAAGGAGACACTGAAAACAACACCCAGAGGCGACATGGCCTGATGATTGACAGACTGTTGCCTCAGGGTGTTGACTTCAATGTTCCATTTAACCCATAAATATAACATACCTTAAAACTATATTTTAACAATATATATATATATATATATATATATATATATATATATATATATATATATATATATATATATATATAATGTGTGTGTATATATATATATATATATATATATATGAAATTTTTATATACATTATTTATATATTATATATGCATGCTACTTATTGAAAAGCGCTCAATATCAGTGATAGAGCTAACATTGTCTGACATTTGCAAAGGGTGTGAAATATATATATATATATATATATATATATATATATATATATATACATAAATTCCCAAGAGGATAGAATCCAGATAGAACTCAAAGTCCAGGACAGAGTAAGAACATAATATAAAAGGCTCAAGTGAATTGGATCATGATTATGATTCTAAAGTAATAAATTATAACCATAGAATATTAGTGTTTGAGCCTTTTATATTATGTTATATATATATATATATATATATATATATATATATATATATATTATAATATATATATTTAAAAGGTAAAAGACAATAGGAATACTGTATTATTAGCCAATGTGTTTCAGCCAATGTGGACTTTTTCAAGTCAAAAACGAAATGAATTTATTAAAAACAAAGTAACTATTAACAACAAACAAAATGTCCTTGATGAAATGCATCAGCTATTAATACAGTTTTCCCATTGTCTTTTACCTTTATATATATATTGTCTTTTTCTACAAGTTAACTCTGAGAAATTTTTCACATATATCTATTTATATATATATATATATATATATATATATATATATATATATATATATATACAAGTGGGGATACATGGCATTGCTCAGAAGAAATAAATTTATTTTAGGTTTCATTGCTGTTTAAATTTAACTTATTGATTCATTGTCTTGGTAATCAATCTGATTGCCATTACAAAGTCTCAGGGGTCTAGATTTTTCAAGAATATGACTGCAAAGAAGAATCAGCAACATTATTGGTCATGACCTGGCATCTTGACTTCAGTCAATTTCCCACCCCCATAATGTAGCTTCCCTGTACCTTTTCTATAAATACTTTCATGGTAACTATTCAGATGCTCTCTTTGCTATAGTAGTGCAGTACTAGATTGACTAGATGTAACCATAAGTTTTATGCTAACAGTTTCTTTTCTCACACTTCTCATTTGTGGAACTCTCTTCCAGTTTCTTGCTTTTCAGTCAACTTTGATTTTCAAAAATTTGAATGTAATGTCAATCGTTATATTCTGTCTTCTTAATTCCTCCTTTTTTATTTTCCACTCTCCTTAATGTTTTTCTTTTTCTCTTATTCTTACACACTCAGTAACCTCCCTGTATCATAGGGGCTTTATTGCCTTGCTTGGAGAGAAATGATTAAAGTTTAAATGCAATATCAATCGTTATCTTCTATTTTCTTAATTCCACTTCTTTTATTGTTCTCTCTCCTAATTAATGTTTTTCTTTTTCTCATATTCTTTCACACTCAGTAACCCCCTTGCATCTTAGTGGCTTTATTGCCTTGCTTGGAGAGAAATGGTTAAAATTTAAATGTAATGCCAATCATTATTTCTGTCTTCTTAATTTCTCTTTTTTTATTGTTCTCTCTCCCTAATAATGTTTTTCTTTTTCTCCTATTCTTTCACACTTAGGTAGGTTAGTTAATTGGTTAGATCTTGAATGCTGATTTTCAAAGCAAGCTTAACCTACATGAAAGAATGGTGCAAAACAGTCTTCCTACCAGCATGGTGCTATGCTAGATGAAAGAACTCTTAATACTTACACTATGGTCGCCTGCATGAAGATGGCCAACTACAGCAATGCAGGTTTGTTGGGTGCTTTGGCTGCTCCGCATGCCAGATTTAAGAACCTCTTGGTGTTGGGCAGAATTGTTCCCAATTTTGGTGATGGCAGATATTTGGAATTTTTTTAGTAAGGAGATACGTCCCTGATAATGACACAAAGGAAAAGATTTAAAATCATGAGACTTTTATAGTACAATTGACATCATAATGAGAACAATCTATGCCAGTTGATTGAATAAAGTGTTTACTTCAAAATTCTCTAGAATGTTACTAATTATAACAGAAACCTTATGATCCGAGGATACAATGGCCAAAACAGGGCTGTAAGTTCAAATTAAAGGAACTTGTGTGATTGAAAAGAGAATGCTTTATTCAAACTACTTTATTCTCTATAAGTGTGCTCTCTATAAAAAGGCCTCTCAGCCCCTTCTTTGTAAGCCACACCTTTTCCGGTTGAAGAGTTACCAAGGGGAGCAAATCATAAAGATTAACAAGGAATATATGACTATATATACTCATCTGATCAAATCACTGTTTAATGACAATAATTCCTCATTTCAAAACTTTGAACAAATTTGGTACATAGTCTTTAACCATATATTAAGAAATGATTCAGAAACTGGTTTTGTGGAACATTGACTCCTATATAGTGGTCATATAGTTACAAAGAAGATTTTTTGTTTACTCTCCTAGGAATATCAATATAGAAATTTGATGGCCATGGATATAACATAATTTTTTTTTAACCCTATCAAGCCCAGATTTACCTGCATAAGAAAATATAGATATTGTGTCTTCAGCCAGTCTTCTTCTAAAATTTGGCCATGGGATATGTACAGAACCTGTGACAGCAGACATAATTTCTGTAATAGCTTTTCTTCCCAGTTGTGGAAAAACGAAAACTTCCTGGAAGAGAAAATAGTAAATTAATCTGATATTTTAAATGACTGGACGATGGGACATGTAGGAAAATATCATATTAAATTTACTCAATATTTTAATAAACTATTTTCTTAAAATATTACTAATTTCTTTATAATACATTAAATGCTACTGACACTACTTAAATAAAGTGGTCCACTCATGAAAAATAGAGAATTTGGCAGGGGTGGGGGTAGAATAACTTTTGTAGGATAGCATTCCTTAGACCATCCTCAAACCGTGACCTTTGTCAGAATTGAAAAATATTGACTTTTTATCGATTTAGACGGGAAATCCTGCTGTTCATAATATTGATGCAGTGTAAAATAGATCCTTAATTTTTACTTTTTTTTATTGGATTTGTTATTTATAAATGTCGAGTTCAATATTGTGCTTACATCATTAATATAAGCATATTGTTTTTAATTTTCTGAATTTTTTCAACCTGTTTTTTTTTAGATATTTTAAAGTTTTTTTTTTTTTGTGTGTGGGGGGGTTCAGAAGCATATACACTAACATTTGCAGATAATAACTATCTATCTTAAATGAAGAATAAACAGATTTATCCCTTTATTAATTTTTGTTCTTTACTTAAAAATTTATCCATCTGTTTCTTTATTTTAAAAAGTCTCTATTGTAGTTCATTTTGTCCTGTGTCAAGAAGGCTCTTCACCTAGTGATGCCATGTTAACACTATATATATATATATATATATATATATATATATATATATATATATATATATATATATACAAGTTTCATTAAAAACAAGTGACAATGTACTATGGTTAAGTTTTTTATTTAATTTTCTGCTGTTCTTATAATTTTCTTCTTTTCTGGACATAAATTGTATCAAAATTGTCCGAATATTCTGTATGCCTGAGCACTTTCGATAATACTTTTAGCCATTATCAAGGAAGATTTTATTTTTACTTTTAACTGAATGCATGGCACAGTGGATAAAGGCATTAGTTAGATCCAGTGACAGGACCCAAAGAGTGTGAGTTCAATACCTGGTTAAGGCAGCGGGGAACTTGGAGAGGGGAATTAACAGGAGATAATTGATAACTGATATCCATTAAAAAACATGGCATGTGGAACTAGAACAGTCTACCCCAGTGAGCAAAATAAAGGGTTCAGTTCAACATTCCAACCACCTGAAGAAGGCTGGAGCATACAATGGCTGAAACATTGTAATAAATATGGCGACAAAGATGAGGACAATAGTCGAAATAATGTAAATAGTGTACATAATACTTCATCTCAGAAAAAATATATATATATATATATATGAAGAAATATAGTCATATGATGTGCTATATTTATGGGATAAAGTGCTCAATATCAGTGATAGAGCATATGTAAATATAAAAGTGAACATAGAAGTCAACACTTAGAGGCAACAGTGGCCTGACGATCGCATGTAGCATGAAACAGACTGTCGCCTCTAAATGTTGACTTCTATATTCACTTATATATATATATATATATATATATATATATATATATATATATATATATATATATTGATGCATGTTTCATTAAATAATATAGACAAGTGTTGTCTATTTAATAAAATATGCATCAATGAAAAATGTCTGCCTAAATACACACAATATATATATATATATATATATATATATTCATTCATTCATTTTCTGCAACTTAACTCTTTGCAGGTTATTTAAAGCTAGAATTTTTTTCTTTTTAAGAATTATTTTTTTAAGGTAATAATGGACATATCTGAGTTTAGGGATTAGGGTTAGGAGATATTAATGTGTATATCTGAGTTTAAGGATTAGGGTTAGGAGATATTAATGTGTATATCTGAGTTTAGGGATTAGGGTTAGGAGATATTAATGTGTATGTCTGAGTTTAAGGATTAGGGTTAGGAGATATTAATGTGTATATCTGAGTTTAAGGATTAGGGTTAGGAGATATTAATGTATATGTCTGAGTTTAAGGATTAGGGTTAGGAGATATTAATGTGTATATCTGAGTTTAGGGATTAGGGTTAGGAGATATTAATGTGTATATCTGAGTTTAAGGATTAGGGTTAGGAGATATTAATGTATGTCTGAGTTTAGGGATTAGGGTTAGGCGATATTAATGTGTATATCTGAGTTTAGGGATTAGGGTTAGGAGATATTAATGTGTATGTCTTGAGTTTAAGGATTAGGGTTAGGAGATATTAATGTGTATGTCTGAGTTTAGGGATTAGGGTTAGGAGATATTAATGTGTATATCTGAGGTATATCAAGAGATAAGCTTTCATTTGAATACCATATATGTTGAATAGCACAGCTATAAGGAAGAAGAAACATTTAAGTGACTGAGATAAAAAGTTAAATTGTTTATGATCAGACGATATAAACAGGGAAATGGCACAGATTTTAAGCCACTTCTATTCAACTGTATTGAGTAGCTTGCAATTATCGTCTGAGAAGGAAAAAAACAACATCTACTGATAAGGTATTGGGTAACCAAGACTTAGTAATGTGAACTGAAGATTTCCTGTCAAGTACAGAACGGATATTGTCGTACAAACTAAATATGTATTATCAAATGAAACAAAATACATCACAATATGCATGACATCAATCCTTGTTGCCTATAGAATTATATTGTTACAGGTTAGTCAGAGTATATAAGATGACCAAGGTACAATGCTGAAATCATCTTTAATGAGCACAAGAGAAGAAGGATGTTGCATTTCACTTTTTCCTGAATAAGTTGGACAAGAGTGTATATGTGTATCAATATTTTTTCTTTTTATGAAATTTCACCCAATTCAAGGCACGAGAGCCACTCATGGTAGACGATTACAATTGAAATGGTAACAATGAATAAAGAGTGTAATACAATGATTCTAAATGTGGAGTGCATGCTCCACTGGTGGAACATGGTAATATTTTGGTGGGGGCATGTGTAGAATGTGCATCCTTCGGTTTACTATACCAACAGAATAAGGGGACAATTCAAGAATGAGTTATTAACAGTGAATTGTTTTCTAGTGAGTCTGAGTGAGAGTGTTAATGTTAATGCATGTTGATACATACAATGCATATACAGTATGCATACATAAAAATATTTTGTGTGTATGTACATACATGTGTAATTGGCATACAGGGTATTTCCTGTCTCCCCAGACTGGTGTGTCTCTGTCAACAAAGGAGAGGGTGTGATGCATGTTGCTGGAAGAGCCCATGTTTTGTCAGTCAATCAGTGCATGTAAGCATTCAGCGAGCATTACATGGTCACCAGAATTTTTGAAATACCAAAGTGGGCCATAGCCCAAAATCAGTTGTGAACTACTGGTGTAATATGAATGAAAAGAAGTTCGTAGGATGTGAAGAATATGAGGATAAGGAGAATAGATAATGATTAATGTTTGATTTGAAGACATCAAGATTAGTGTTCAGAGGAGTACTTGCGTGGGAATCTGCTTCACAAAGTGGCAGCGCTCTTTGGAAAAAAGTTACCTGAATAGAATTTCCTTCTTACATTTGGAACCCCATGGAAGTAAAGGTAATTCAATTTCACGGAAGTATCATTTCATTTTTTTTTTTACAATGATGTTCAATATGTACAAAGCCCAAGAGCCACTCGAGGTAGAGGGTTACAGAGCAAGAGATATAGTTTGTGTGGATATGTGAGGAAGATAATGGTTAGCCCTAAATTGAACAGGTTAAGATTGTAGTGATTGGGGAAGTGTCTTCTTAGGAGTTGGTTCCACAAAGCAACAGTTTGTGGGAAGAAGCTGCTTGAGTTGAACTTACATCTACATGGTGTGAAATTAAAGAATCTAGTTCATCTGAACATTTGCCATGGAATATATATATATATATATATATATATGTGTGTGTGTGTGTGTGTGTGTGTGTGTGTGTGTGTGTGTGAATACAAGGTTGGTATGGATAAAATAAAATTCCAGTAACCAAAAACACTATTTTTTTTAAAAAAAAATGCTCAGTACAAAGTGGAGCAAATAATACTTATTTAAAAATTATAACATAAGTATGTTATAACATCACTACAAAAATAGCCATTTTGTTTCAACATTTCTGGTGTCTTGTCAAGTGATGGTTTAGATTGTAAAATAAAAAGTTTTATTTTAGTATTTTATTTATATAGTGATGTTATAACATAATTATGTTATAATTTTTGAATAAATATTATATATATATATATATATATATGTATATATATATCACAAATAAGAGAAAGAACAGATTGAGTAAGAATCCACAGTTCTTTGCATTTATTTTTTTAAAAAAGTGCTCAATACAATGTTGAGCAAAATATTATTATAATATTTTTATTATAATAAATGACGATAAAAACATTTTACATCGCTACAGAAAAACTTTCATGTTTCGGAACTATAACGGTTCCTCTTCGGCCGATGATAGACAACATATGATGAAAATGATTTATTTGGGAAATTTGAAAACAAAATGTTACCTCTTTTGAAAGTTAAAAAGTGGATGAGACCTAAGATCAAATTAAAAAAATATATTTGTGATGATGTCTGGATTAACCAATTATATATATATAATTTTAATATTTTTATTATAATAGATTACAATAAAAACTTTTTACATCACTTCAGAAAAACTTACATGTTTTGGAACTATAATGGTTCTGAAAGATAAAAGTTTTTTCTGTAATGATGTAAAATATTTTTATTGTAATCTCTTATAATAAGAATATTATAATATATATATATATATACTAGCAGGAGAGCCTAGCGTTGCCCGGTGATGTAACAGTAATAGATAGATCAAGTATCAACCATCATAAAGACTGAAAAATAAAATTGACAAAGATTATTGTTTAAGGTTGACGGACACGCATGTCTTAATTTGTTTTTTTTTACGAATTGGTCAAACCCAAACTCAAACAAAAACATTGTTTTCACTCCTTATGAGTCTATCGATTGAATAGAATTTTATTATAAACAATTGTTTGTAAATGGAATTTTT